CTACTGTCTTCTGGTGTTGGACCTTTGGAAGAGCGCCAACATTACGCCCACTACATCCCTAACGCGGCCAATGTGTTTGACAGTAATTCGTTCAGCAGTAATATTTGGACCAAGCAATCTATAGTACCGTACCTTCCTGAATTTCCGCATTATTCGATGAATTAGCAAACGATAGTGGTTCAGCTCCTTGAAGACAGCCTGAATAACTTGAATGGCCATGGATTACAACAAAATTTCGCAAGCAGTGGAACAAATGAAGTCGACGGCATCTTACTACTACAGCTACTGGAATGCAAGTCTTCTTTTTCCCAACAATTTTTAGCGTTTGACATTCCTCGCATTCTGATATGTGAAGGAATTATCCACTCCGGTGGCACGATGGGTGTCATAGCCGTGCGCGGCGCTCATGTATTCGGGGAGAGGGAAATTCAAGCGAGTAAGCCAGTTGCCACGTTCAAAGGAAAGAAGACGAGCTGGCCATATGCCGTAATGTGTTGAAGACAGGGGCCCGGAATGTTTAGCAACTACTGCCTTTGTTGCAGCATACGATAAAAGCATAAAGTAAATTATGGTGTTTGCCTTTAAAGGCACAACCCAGGCAGAGATCGTGTGAACGCTTCCCTTCAGTTTTGCCAATTCCTGTGCTTCCGGGGTTTGCCATGGAGGGTTAATTAACTGGGAGCTCCTAGGTAACAACTTTCCGAATACCACGAAGTCGAGAAATCAGTCGTGTAAATTTGCCTTTTACGGCAAGGGGTTCTGTACGGGTGAAGTCACAAAGTAAAGTACTTGTAAGTGGTTTTATTTCATGACAGATGTTGCGTCTAAGTAGTGTTTAAATTAGAATTTGAAAAGATTTCTTTCTCAGAAGCACAAAAATTTCAAGGAGGAGAAATGAGTCTCTGCATTTGACAATCGACCTCCAGCCGTGCCTTTCTTTCATTATATTTCTGATCGGGAGTGATTTTGGGCCTTATTGAAGCGTTCAACTCTTGTCCCCACGAGCCTCTCTATATGCAGAGGGCCCGGCAAGAGTCGCACGCTAACCCCACCGATCTGTCGAAATATGTAATGGGCTGAAGGGCCGTCCACGGTAGATTAAAGGCACAACCCAGGCAGAGGTCGTGTGAACGCTTCCCTTCGGTCTGTAGTATAGACCCCTAGAGGACAATCACAAATGTGGCGTTCCCGTGCACGGAAACCAACCGACAAGAGCGCTTGGGCCTTGCAAAGTAAGCTGCTGAAGCTGCAGATTTTTTTCTCTTATCAGGCTGTTGTCTGGCGCTCTCTCATCTGTAGCGCTCTCTCGCCTCATACTCTCCTCTCCGCGCTTAGTCTCTCATTCCCTTAGCACAGCCGATTAGGAAGGTGAGTGAGCCCTCAACCTAAGCGTTTTCGACGGATTCTTTTCCTTTTTTCTTTACTGCCGGCCCACTTCGCACCAATACATTCGCATTCGTGTGCAAGAGCCACACCAATGTGATCCTGGGGCATGCCTTTAGTAATAGAAGTCCAAACTTGAGTATAAAATGGCAAGAAGCAGCTACATTAATACGCAACTGTGTGATTTTTAGGCAACTCCCGTGCAGCAAGTTCAGGTCAAGCCAGACACAGGAAAAGACGAAAAATGTGAGCAGAAAAAAGATCCATTAAAGCCGGTGAAGGTAAATATGTGGTTTCGCTTCGAATGAATTTGTTATAGCTGCTCAGTACTGTGTGGCATTAGGTGCGATCTCTTACCGCGTGAGCGTGCATCTGAATATTTCCGCTGAAACGTCAAACCAAATGAATGAGATGTCAGATGAGCATTTCTAAAGGGAAAAAGGGTAACATCTATCGCAAGAATAATCGGAACATTAGTTTGCATATGCAATTGCATAGTTTTAATTTTGCTCAACCTAAGGCCAACCCAACCCCCTAACATCCTTTGAGAGTCAGAGAGAATAAATATTGCGTCCAAGTCATCTCTGGGCAATCTTTTCAGGCCTTATCTCCTGCACCTCAAGTACAGGCGAAATCAGAAGTCAAAAAACCAGGAACGCCTGTGAAGACGCAGAAGTGTGAACCAGTGCGAACAGTAGAGGTTGCGCAGAAGCCGCCGAAGAGTGAAGCACCGCAACCACCAAAGGTTGGATGAAAATTTGTTCAAAATAAGTGGACAGTTTTCTGTGCAGATTTGAGCCGTAGGAAACTAGGCTTTTACTAATATTGTGCCAGGTGAAAGACAATGTAAATCGAGTTTCACCCGACCGAAGCAGCAACAAGTTGTGGCCGCCACCGATCCTAACTATGAAACGATGCGCGGTTTGAACAACGCCAACGTCTTTGGCAAGGTAGGCTTTGAAGTTAGCGAAGTGGTCGAAGAGGTGGTCAAGTGGGATGAGAGCGATGGGTGATACGCTACCCACTTGAACTTCATTTAGAACTCTTAAGGCAGGAAAGCGCTGGGGTCTGCAGTAACAAGAACAGCTTAATACATTGATAACAACCCTACTGTTTTCCTCTCATTGTGCTTTACTTTCAAGTTATCTGATGACTCTTCAAAAAGGATTAGATTTCTATCGGTAATCTAAGAAGAGAGTGATGGCTGGCTTGATCTCTCGGGCTGGATATTCGCGCCAGCGCTTGCATCCTCGCACATCTGTGTCACTGCCATGTGAACACAGTTGAAAGCTCTGCTTTCTGAAATGTTGTCTAGAGTAGGATTGAAAAATTTACCTCCATTGACTTTTAGGAAAAACCAAAAAGCCAAATCAAGTCAATCGTTCCTCCAAGTAATCAACACTCGGTCGCCGCTATGGACCCCAACTATGAAACACTCCATGGTTTGAGTAATGATGCGATCTTTCCAAAAAAGGTTAGTTTTCCGAGCAAACCTTATGAATCCTTTAACAAGCTGTCCGCTTACGCTGCTCATGGATTGCTCCAGTGCCAGCAGCTTCTCCATTTGTCCCTATAACGTGTCAGGGTACTCCAGCTGGTCCCCTCACTCAAGACACGTTTAAAGTCTTCTTGAAGAGATCTCATCCATCGAGCCAGCGGTCGTCCACTGTCGTATTGGCGTCAGAAGGGGGCATGTCGACAAGTCGCCTTGGTCATGTCAAAAATTGCAGTCGTATCGTATCCGCCCCACCTATTCTTCGACTCCCTGGTGAAAACGGTAGTGTCCCTGAGGTTTGGCTTTTGAAGAATCCGGAGGTTGCGGGTTCCCTTGCGTACTTCTATGCATCGGGAAATTCCATACGTTGTTGTCCTCTTCACAGCGCGAGGATAACCCTCAACTTGCCCCTGTAGGTTATGAATCTCTGTGGTGTACATTAAGGAGAGACTGCAATTGAGTGTAATGAATCGCACAGATTCACATCACCTTGTGACGGTTCACCTTCAGAAGCAATTAGAACTTCTACCTCTTGCTATAGGCCGCGCAAGCATCCAGTGGCGGGCTGTCAAGCCCTGCTTCTAGAAACTATAAGGACTAGACCTTTTCGGTCGTATCAGAGGAACATGTCCAATTAGGACCTGATCAATTGCCCTCGAAAGCTCTTTTCTGCTCGGGGAAGTGTAGCTCGCCCATTCTCAACTTTCACAAGTATAAATTTGTGTACTACCAATCAGAAGTGCAACAACAAAAAGTCGTTTTCAGAACGATAATCCTAATCCCAATAAGAACGAAGTAAAGGAGACCTCCGATAACGCTTATGAAAACGCAGCTACATTAGACAATGAAGACATTGTCATCAAGGTGAGTTTGCTCGGGAAACAGGATGTGAAGTTTACTGACAATGGGCTCGAGAATTTCATTCTTTACCCTGCTTTTGGAAATGGTCTCAAGCTTCTTCCAAAATGCCAGCCCGCCGCCGTAATAACAAGAAGTGAAAGCGGGGGAACCACTTGAGGGCGGAGTCACAGTTTCGTAGGCAGCTCTAGCTGCTGAAGTAAGCAAACCAGCCCTTTTGGCGTTTCTGCTGGGGCCGTATGCTGAATGTTGGGGAGGGGATGGGGTCCCCGACGGTCGACGGACTACTTCAACTCGGTCTTTAAAACCGCCTCAATTTGATGCTTACCTCAGGACTAAGCCTCAAAGAGAGGACGGACCTGCGCTCATCAGCTCCTCTCTCCAAAAGCTCAGTCCGGGGTAAGCCGGTCCTTCTGGCGGAAGCTACTGGACCAGCTGCACCACTTGCGTCAGTACTCTCCTATCGTACCAACCGAGTTGAAGTAAACCGTCGACCGTTGGGGACCCCATCCCCTCCCCAACATTCAGCATACGGTCCCAGCCGATGTGCCAAAAGGGCTGGTTTTGCTTACCTCCTAGCTGCGTGGCTTCAAGCGCACCCTCTGCCCGCTAGCAACTCATCTATTTTGCTTAGTCACTTGAATTTCATTCCTATGAAGGAATTGGCTTTATACAAAGAAAGCACTTTTATTTGTTGGATAGCTGCTGTTTTACGCCGCAGTTCGCGTTGCGAAAGTTATCACAAGAATGCTGAGTTGTGGGCAAAACTTTCGCCCAGCTGGGACTCGTACCCGGATCTATTGCTATCCGGGCATTCGTGCTGCCAGTTACACCACCGGCAATAAGTTGTGATGCCCAGTGGTGTGACTGGTAGGGCATTTGCCCGGAAAACAAAGGATCCGGGTACGAGTTCCGTCTAGGGCGAAGGAGTTGTCTTACTCATTGCCTATAGACTTGATCCATTCGTCGCAGTGGGCTCACGCAACAGATTCGATCTCATCCTCTAGCCCGTGCATCACTATTGCTTGGTTGCCGCAAGTCATATGGAGGGGTAGAGGGGGGGGGCTCAGGAACACAGGAATGGGTCTACCTCTATCACAGCCAAGATGTACACGGGAAATATTATTGGGTAATGTGACTTTTATGGACGGTTTCACATGTATAATCGATCATTATATTTTAGCATGGATATTTATACCTTGTTATACGTGCTCTATTGTGTAGTGAAATCAGCTCAATAAATTTGTTCTTGGTTTTTACAGGACCCAGTTTCAAAAACACCCAAAAAGGAACTTGCGTCGATGGCGTTTCCAACTCCGTCGTGACGATGCTGAAGTGACAACGCGATAGAAACAATTTCAAGCCGAGTCAATTCTTATATTAGAAAACTAATTAAAAGTGCTTTACAACGGTTGCAGTGCACTCAAATCTGGAATATTCGTACTGGTCTCGCTTTCACGAGGTTTTGATAAAAATTGTTTGACAGTAGGCGATAGGACTGTACTAACGGCGTCTATTGCGCTACTACTACTTTCTGAAACTGGATTCTGAAGATGATAGCAAGTAGTCTAACACTTTTGCTTGACGTTTGTTCGCTTAGCTATCTGAACCAACCACCCCATGAAGTCGTGTCTAAAAATCTCATCTGTGGGTGGATAGAGTGGCCCACGTGTGTCACAATGTGCGCGACAATGGCGCTAGAGCCGTGATATGATGGTGGCTAATGTGAACTTGCGGACGATAAACCTCGCGCACATCCTTCTGCAACGCGGATTCCGACGTAGGTATGTCCGATAGGCAGATAAAATGGTAGCCTCGTGACAGCGATGGCGCTGTTTTCAAAAACTCGTCTACAATCCATATCTCAAAGGCTTATGAGGCCGGACTACGAACTTGACGAGGGATAAATCATGGTTTGAAGAGTGGTGAATCTATGCAAAATACGTTTACACAGAGGCTCTTAGATCGCTATCAGTCGCTGTTGTTACCCCACCAATTCGAACAGGTGTCGTAGCTTTGATGGCTCTTAATAATGGATCAATAGTGAGCTACAGAAAAGAAATGCAACAAATCACCTCAGAAACCGAGGTGTGATTTGCAGTGTCTTTCGCAACAAACAGCAACTGTGATGACTTGTTGATGATCCGCACGGTATGCGTCGTGATGAACGATTATCCGTCTCAAATGCGCAACCGTTCTACCACTTAAGACAAGCAAATGTCGAAGTAGAGTAGTTTACCATTAGTCAGCTACGTTATCTTCCCCCTTGACCGTCCGCCGTCTGTCAGTTAGTCATTTTGTCGCAGGTGGGCGCACATGTGACAGACAAATCCACCCCAGGCTATCGCTCCGTTTCTTCTTCTCCTGCTCTGCTCTTCGTTCATCTACAGGTGATCCATTGTAAAACTGTAGCGTAGCATTCAAGAACTATCTTTAACCCATTCGTGACAATGTCAGCCACCGGTGGCTGACAAAGCTCTCACTCGGGACAATGGTATTACTGTGGCTGCAGGGCTTGAAATGGAATTTGGAAAGTTTTCTTCCATGGAAAGAATCTTCATACCCTCGCTCATCTACGCCAGCCCTGGGCAGAGGAAATCTCCCTTCACTCGGATTTTATTGAAGAAAAATCTTCTGACGCTGCTGCTATTGCGCAATCCTGCGCGGTCGCGAATGGGTTAAACAACGTGATGGTCACCTTTTCATCGAGAATTTAGCCACGTGTGCCACGTGGCTTTCTAGCTGCATGAAACAGAGTGTAGTTTTATGTGGCAGTTCGCGCTTTAATGTTAGTACCTTAGCGGGACATAAAGCTTGTGGTAAGGCTCAGTGTAGTCTTTAGTGTAGTAAACGTAGCTATGCATCTCAACGTGCTCTGCTGTTATCATGGAGTCCCAATAGTCGCGTTTCGGAAGAAAACGCTCATAGCCCCGCTGGCCCCGTCAGCATCAAGACTTCCAAGCGGCAAGTTTTTCCTTAACCATAATGGTGTGTACGTACCAAATGGTCTTAGGTCCTCGCCGTAACCCGAGCTGGGAGAGAAGCTCCGAAACAAATCTGCTCTGAGTACCTGGTAACAACATCAATGAACAACCTCGTCGTCGCCTATTTATTTATGTATTTGACATACGCATAGGTGCGCTATTTCCCATTCTCGATCACAGTGTCACAAGTATGTCGCACTGAAATGTAAAGGGTCGACAACGCCGTGGAGCTGGTTTTCGTTGGTGGGCATTGTTGTGCGGATTAGCTTAAAAGGGTGTTTAGCTAAAAGAGATTGAAAATTGCTTACACACCCTCTCTCCTACTTCCACTAAAGCTTAGCCCTAGGGACAAGGATACGGGAGCGGGCGAGGGGTAGCTGTATGGGATCTCTGCATAATGGTGCCTCATCCGACGACACAGCGCCAGCAAGGTAGGAAATCCTCGAGTTAAGTGTGAATGAGGAAAGCGATGCACATTGAGCAGGTGTAGGACCTGTGAACTGTATGACAGCTTATAAAATATGTAAAGTTCACTTCAGTAGGCGGTGAAAGCTGGGAATAACGTCACTGCCGAATCGTGAAATTTCGAGATGTATTTTGAAGCTGAAAGCACTTAAATCTTCACATCTTGTGTGCACATCAGTATAATGATCAGACTCGGCTAGTGATAATGTATTGTCAAAAAATGGTGTCGCTGTAACTAGCCCTATCATGTACTTTTTGAGAGCTGGGGTATGACTCAGTTTATACTCGGCCTCCTTCAAGAGCAGTCGGTGGTACTCACCTGAGGAAGTACGTTTCGGCGCTCATGTCGTTAGGGGGGACATTGAAATGAGTGGGCCACTGATAGAACTTGGGACTAAGCTTCAGAGAAGATAGGATTTTGAGAGCAACCATCGTTCTCTCTTGTATTTATTCCCAGTCCTGGGCTTAGTCCTAGTGTCACCTACCAGCGGTTTTTGAATGCTCTGCTATGAATGTCCCCCCTAAGGACATGAGCGCCTACGTTTCTTAGCGTCTAGGGCATCGAAGAACAACACAAGCTTTAGCGCATTCGATCCATTTCAATGAGTCATCCTTAATATGTAATTACTCTTTGCAGCCAACTGCTGCCTACTCAGTCATGCTTCAAACACTTCATAACATCAAAACAGCGGCTTACTCTTACCTCTCTGGAAAGGTCAGTTTATTAGAAGGCGCCAAATGACAGGATTTTAGGACACTGGACTCATCTAGGAACGTATAGGAGCTCTTTCATGAGTCCCATACAATGTATTGTTTGAAAATGAATGGTGGTTCACTTCACAGTGGTTTAAATCATTTTAGTGACAAGGAGGAGCAAAAGCCTCAAACGGCGCTCATGTCCAAGAGTAGGGGTTGGCCGATATATCCTCTATGTAGCCTACTAATGTAGGAATTCCAGTTTGGAAACCTGTCGTAGCAGATCTCAAGAGGGGCAGGCCCCTCAAAATAAAACCAACAATATCTGGCTCTCGCCCACGGAGCGAAATAAACGACGGTGTACCTTATTCACAAGTTTAAATAACAACGGCTCATATATCAATAACTGACTTCTTCATGGAGTTTCTAGAACAAGATTGATCCCCCGCAACCACCGGGACCGCCCTTCATTCATGTGAGCTTTACGCCCTCCGCACTGCTCCCTTCCCACTTGCGACAACCCTCGTGAGAAGGTGATGCGTATGCTCAAAAAGTGTTTCGTACAGTAGAGGTCTGTTACAAACATAACGTGACGTTATGGCAACGGCTCAATACGTTGTTTTTTATGTCTGTTGGGAATTGGTTTTCCTCCCCATTTCCCTTGTCCCCTACTCCTTCCATTGTCATCCAGCTGCCACTGCAGCACCATGTTGATGATTGAAGAAAGTGATCAATAGGATTTACATAGCCGTTAGGCCGCGTTCATAGTTCGCGACTCGGGAGATTAGGATAGTAGGCGACAGGATATTAGGATAGTAGTAGAGTAGGAGATTGCGCTGACAAGATTGGATACGTATCGATTGAAATCGCTGGAGAGTAGTAGATTGGGCGACTTCAAGCGAATAGATCAATACATATCTAATCTTGTCAGCGCACTATCCTAATCTACTACTATCCTAATCTACTACTACTATCCTAATCTCCCCGTCAATACATATGTTTTTCATTGTCGCG